AAAACTGAAAGGAAATAGAGGATAAGCAAGTCATAAAAAATTAGTAACATCACTCTGCACATAGACACTCAAAGGTAAACGAGACTAGAAAATGTAGTTTTGAGCTAATCAGTATCTCTTATGGAATAAGGGACGAATTGGTTATAGAGGGGAAAAACGAGAAGTCTTCTATAGCCCAATGCTGTAGTCATCCACATGTGAGTGAATATCTTTCTTTCTATGAAAAAAAAGTACCTACTTTCTTCCCAACAAAGAATATCTAAGTTTCATTCCAATTATTGCAACCAGTCCAAAATCCAGGACCTCTGGAAAATATGCAGATCTCGACATTAAATATTGATGTAGTTCTTTACAATTTGGCAACCTGAAAATGATAGATTATCTTTCTTATTCTCAACCTTCTTCCCCATACAAAACACTCAATATTAAGTGGTCAAAGGGGAACAGAATAACTGCAATGGAAGCTATCATGAGAAAAACAGAAGAAAACACATAAGACTCAGTGGGCAATAGCAGTTGCAAAATCCTGCCAAGAGGTAAAGACACCTAGAAACAGCAGTGAAATGTTTTGTTTTGTTTTTTGATAAGGGCATCTGGCAACCTCAGTTCTCCTTTCTGGGAGTCAAGTCAGATATCCTGGAAGGATCTTCTTTATCCCAGTGGATAAATGAACTTATCCATGGCCGTATCTTAATCCCGCAGAGTATGCGCTCCTTGGGAACTTTACAATTTTTGCAGCATGCTTTCTTCTGGTGTATGTTTGGAAGCCTAAGGATTGTTCTGGGGATCATATATGGTAGCAAAGTCCAATGGGAAGATGTGAGGACATCTTTGAGCAACATATATTATCTCTTGCTATTGAAATAGAGAAGCAACTAACTTCACTGTACCCTGTTAAGCCTCGAAGTTTTGAACCTTCTATCAATTTAAATTATAGAACTAACACATAAATCAGAAAAAGATAGCCTCTCTTAGTAAAGTTCTATTTACTTTTATATCATCTTATAAAATGACCATTCTTATTTGAACTCATATAATTTGTAAACCTTTCTTAAAAGTAGCAAGGATCACCAGTAGTTGGGCTTTGTTCAACATTTTTCTCTAGCAATGTGTATCCAGGTCCATAGCCTGCTTTCCAAGTTGTCACTGGTAATGGTATAACAACGGCCATCAGTTTCCCACCCTAAAGTATTTTTTCTTTGCACCCTCCACCCTCCTACTAAGCTAATACTCTATAGTTTGAGATTTAAATGGTAATTCCACATTTCTACATACTTATTTCTATGTTCATCCACTCTATTGTGACAGAGGCTCAAAATTCAGTGACTCAAATAATATTTTTAAAATGTATTTTTCTCTTAACAATCCCCGAGGCAAGCAGTAGTGTAAAGTAAGACTGCCCCATGTGATCTTTTAGAGGCAGAGGTACCTCCCGTGTTGCAACTCATGACTTCTTAAAGCATTGTCTTTATTTACATTGTAGATACTAGATCATCACTTTGAATGCCTTCTACCAACTGAGAAGGTAAAGGTGCACAAGCCCAGGATGAGGAGATTATTCTTAAATGAGAAAGGATGTTGATTTCCACTCCCATCTCTGCACACATCCCATGTGTCCTAACTTAAGTCATGAGGGCACATCTAGCTGAAAGGGTGTATTCACTATTAGTGCAGCCATTTGTCCAAGTAAACATTTATCTGTGGAAGAAATGAGAAGTTCTATTTTAATAATCTAAGGTATAGACTGTGGCAGAGTCCATTTTGATTATTATACATCATTTTCCATTATCTTTCATTATTTTACAAATATCTTGTATGTTCTGTTCTCCCTTGTTTAGAGTTCTGAAAGTTCAAATTCCCTCTTGCTGTGTATGTATCACTTATGATAGATAATAACTGTGCTTCCTTATATTCTCTCCCACTGCTGTTCTTTTTCTGTCTCTTATCTTAACAATTAAAATAAAAAGTGAGAAACATATTAATGCCATGCAATGCTGTTAAAGTGCTACTGGTCTTCGCACAGCACACTTTGGGGAACATGATCAGGGGCTTACTCACAGAAAATGTATTGATGATGACAAGGGAAGGAGAAGCTTCCCTCAATGCCAGCATTTTCCTCTATGTTGCTATAAGTGGGACTGCTGGTTGTTAAATTATTTTCTTATGAAGTTCACCTCTTAATCGTTTAAAGAATCAATTTAACAACTCTCAGGAATTTGCTATACCTCTATGAGGACTCTGAGTTGGGTTGCATCATTTCTATCATGTCAAGTATGTGAAAGAAGAGATACGCCTCCAGATTCCAGCCAATGCCATTAGCCTTCTACAATCTCCAGTCATTAGAAGGATGTAGAGAACACATTACCGTAATTTTTTAGACAGTTTGAATGTAAACATGTTGGGCAGTGAGGGCTGAGCTAGGCAATCATTTTTTCAGCTTCTTTACACTTATATTGAAGTTCATGCATTATAAGTTGCTTCCAAGGAAGATAAGGATGACCAAAGTTTTCTCTGCCCCTCTTTTTATATCTGATATACAGACTTTTCTTTTCTTTTTTTCTTCTCTTTCTTTACTATCAATAAAATCAAAAGTACTTAAAATAATGAGACCTATGGAATTGCTTTGCAGGATAATAATAACCACATTCAGAGAACATCTAATTTTAGGCCCTTCTGTCATTCCTTCCATCCTAACCCTTTGACATCTATCCCCTACCCTCAGCCCTTATACAATTTGGTTTTTGATATTCAGCCATTGTCTCGATACACTTTTATATACTTAAAATGAATTACTAACCTTGACATAACTTATAAATTAAGATTTATATAGGGGGGCAATGATTGATATCTAACTTTAAACCAAGAAGTGTATTTGAAGGAAAATATAATGTATCATGAATATTTATAGATCCCTCAGTAAGATTAAAAATATATGAATTAGCCCAATAATTAAATTAAATAAATTTTCACTTTTGCATGTTATTCTTTTTAAATCGTGACATGGTTTTATTAGGCTACTCAATTAAATGGTGTCTGGGCTTCCTATGAGCAATTTATTCTATTGTCCTATAAATATTCATTGAGCAGCTGTTATGTGCCAAACATTGTTCTAGAAAATCTGCTTGGAACAACGAGAGGAAATGAATAAATGAGAGACCAATTTTCTATACCAAGAAGTTTATATTCTAGAAGTGGGGAATAGTCAATAAATAAATTAGCAAATGGGTGTTTGTGTGTTTGTTTGTATAATATCTATGGTGGTGATCAATGAATGCTAAGGTGAGCAAAGCAATGTAGGTGTAGGTGGGCCCTGGTCTAAATATATTGATCAGGGAAACCTCTCATAAGTGACATTTGAGTGAGCTCTGAAAGAATGAGAAAAGGGACAACTGGACATTTAGAAAAAGCATGTTTCGGGTAGGAGAAACAGCAAATGAAAAAGCCCTGAGACAGTAATGTGTTTGTAGTGTTCAGAGAACATCTAGGAGCCCATGTCCCCTGAGTAAGGTGGGTGAACAAGGAGAAAATGTTAGAGCATGAGGTCTGAGAAATTCTAGGAGCGGGGGGGGGCAAACGGTATAGGCAAAATAAGAAGTTTTTATTTTTCTCCTAAAGAATATGGGAAGCTATTTATGAATTTTTGAGTAGAGAGCTAATATGATCTAACTTATTTCTATAAAAATGACTTTGACTACTACGTAGATAATAACAACAGAGCAATCAGTGCATAGAAACCACTTAGAAGGATAGCATTCTCATTTAAATGAGAGATAGTAATAACTTTAACTCAGTGATAGCTCTGGATATGTTTAGACATGTTCAGATTCCGGACATATTTTGCAATTCGAAGTGAATTTGCTACTAGATAGAACATTAGTAACTAGATGAGACTGCCTAGGGAGTAAGTATGAATAGAAAAGAGAAACATTCAACTGAGCCCTAGTAGTCTCCAAGAATAAGTGATTGGGAAAATGAGAAGGTAACCATAGGGAAGAATGAAGAAATGAAGTGCACTTGAAGACCCATGAAAGAGGAGATCTCAGAAGCAAGTGAAGTGTTTGCAGAATCATGAAATAATCAACCGTGTTAAATGGTGCTAAAGTAAAATGTACACTAAGTCTTGGCCATTGAATGTGAATATGTTAAGATCTTGTCAAGAGCTGTTTCAGTGGAGCAGTGGAATGGCAGCCTGATTGAGCGTCTTCAAATGCCTATGGAGAAGAGTCAGTGAAAAGAGTGAGTAGAGTCACTTCTTTTCAAGAAATGGGATAATTGCTAAAAGTAGTTATGTGGATGAGGGAGAGCTTTTTACGGATAAGAAACACATAAGCTTTGAAATGCTAGTAGGCATCATGCCTTAAAGGGGGAAGTGGATGCAGCAGGAAACAGTGAGGACAATTGTAAAGGGGTAACAGAGTGGGTCGGAGAGAGAGTGTCCTTTGAGTAAGAAATGGAGGAAGAACACCGTTGACAGTTATTGAAATGTGGAAGCATCTAGTAAAATGTCGAGTGAAACAAAATAGCTTATTTATTTGGGGAGTGCACAGACATGATGTGAAAGGGATAGAGGGGAGTATAAATATAGTTTAGTGTTTCAATGTGAAAAAAAATGATGCATATTTCTTAAGATAACAGCATTAAAAGCCATACATGATTGACCAGATTGTCATCTTAGAGAGCACTTTTTCTTGGAAATAGGCCTTTTATAACTCTCTTCTTGACAGATTTTGAAGTGTTATACTTGTGTTTTAGGGGAAATTTGATTTATCAAATTGGAGGACAGAGATAAAGAAATACTGAGGTGGCATTACAAAACATCATAGCACCCCTTGTCAATAACCTGTGTTTTTCTTACTGAAGATTTATTTAGGATTGTGTTTTATGCCTTGAAGTTCCTGGAATATTACCTCAGCACACATTTTGCCTTCAAATTCCATATGAGTTTCTGGGTTGATTTTCCCGGTTACAGTAACATTGATTGCTGTCTAAATTTGTTGCAGTGTGCCTGAATACTATGACTACGGTCATGGAGTAAGTGAGGATGCCTATGACAGCTACGGTAAGACCTTTTCTTTACTAAAACTGTGAAATCGGAACATCCATCAGTCACTGACAACTCGAAAATTATTTCCATCTTTCTCCCCCTAGTTTTTCCAGAAGTTTAGACTAAATTGATTTATGTAATTCCAGAGTGAGATTTGACTTACACAGCTAGTACCAGAAAATTAGACAGATCAATTTTGATCAAATTTTTAAAAGCAATTAATCACAATCATAAATCATTTTCAACAGCAACAGTGATCATTCTGAATAGTGTCTTGTATGTTTAACTGTGTTCATTGTCTACTCATTGATTTGGCAACAATGTTGTGTCTTTTCTGCTGTCAAAAGATCATCAGAGTAATACACATTTAAAATATTTACAAACTTTAAGGGCAGAAATTGTTATTATAAAATAACTCTCAGGTTATTTTTCTAGCATGCATAGCCAAATAAGGCTTGGCTCATAAAAATTGATAGTCAATAAGGATGTCAGTCTATAAAATTAATTTATTTAAAAAATATATTCCTTAATTATAATACCACTTAAAATTAATCATAATTATACTCAGTTAAGATCTATTGAATTCCTATGACATATCAATACAGTACATCATTTTTGAGACGTACTTTGTGATTCTTTAAAATACACACGTACCCGGGCACGGTGGCTCACGCCTGCAATCACAGCACTTTGGGAGGCCGAGGCAGGTGGATCACAAGATCAGGAGAGCAAGACCATCTTGGCCAACATGGTGAAACCTCATCTCTACTAAAAATACAAAACAAATTAGCTGGGCGTTGCGGTGCATGCCTCTCATCCCAGCTACTCGGGAGACTGAGACAGGAAAATAGCTTGAACCAGGGAGTCAGAGGTTGCAGTGAGCCGAGATTGTGCCACCGCACTCCAGCCTGGCAACAGAGCGTGACTCAGTCTCAATAAATAAATAAATAAATAAATAAATAGCATCACTAGCTGCCCACCTTAAAAAATGACACTCATATAAATATTTATAGTCTTGAATTTTTATTAAAATAATAGCAAGGCTGCTTGGCATTGGTGCATGACTATAGTCCTAGCTACTCCAGAGACTGAGGCAGGAGGATTGCTTCAGCCCAAAAGTTTGAAGCTATAATTGTGCAATAATCATGCCTGCAAAGAGCCACTGCACTCCAATCTAGGCAACAGAGTGAGACCCTGTCTCTAACAAAAATAAATAAATTAAATAATACCATGTTCTTTATTCCTCTCTATGGGGAAAAATAAAGGAGACAATGGTTGTTGCTGTGTTTGGGGCTTCATATGATGCTGGGAAAGGCAAGTCCTGATGTCGAGAGGAAAGGAGGAAGAATATCTTCCTTAAAACCAGTCATAAACTAACACAAGGCCAAGCCCAGAAATAAGAGGAGAAAAATAAGCCACCACCACCAACCAATCATGGGATGATTAGTTACAGATATTTTGTATTTATTTCTTTAAAATAAATTGAAATACTATGACTACGGTCATGGAGTAAGTGAGGAGATAAAGTATCTTTATCCCAATTTTTATGAGGAAACTGAACAACAAAGGTGAAGTCAATATGAGAGTATGGCTGTGAGGCTCAGCTTCTGTTCTTATATTCTCATCAGTGGTTGAAATACTATTAATTGCTGCTACCATACATGAAGTACCTATTATGGCTCTGTACTAAGCATTTTATAATGAGGATTAGCAATTGCAGAAGTAATCCTTATAGACATTATACATCTATCTATTTGTATACTCTAATCCCCATTAGAATCCTCTAGAGAAGGATGAGAAACAGATAAGGCTTTGGGATGCATACTCATATTGTCATCTGCATTTTTCAGGTGAGAAACTAAGACTCAGAGCATTAAGTACCTTGCCTCAGTTCAACAATTTGCCAGTGACAGAACAAGAATGCGAATTCAAGTGTGTCTGATTATTTGGGGGTTTGTCTGTTTGTTGATTTTGTCAGGAGGCGGGAGCAGGGTTCAGTAGACTTGGTAAAAAGAACAGGATGTGGTACTTTAAACCTGAGTTTGTTTAAAGGAAAGTCGTTCAGCTTCCTTCCTAAATCCTAAATCTTCCTTCCTAAGTTTGGAGTTCTCAAAATGCTATCACTTGCTATTTCACTATTTTAAGGGGAAGGAGATCTTTTATACTATTATTCAGGAAAAAAAGTAAATAATCCAAAATGAGCACCAGGCTCACTCCCAAATCCAAGTTTCTCTAACACTAATCAAATTAACCTAATCTTTTGCTGTTATATAGCTAGAACTCTTTTCCAAAACAAATTAACACAATTTCAGAAAGTATTTCACAGAAATATACGTGATGAACAAGTCTGCACAGTTCTGACTCTGTTGGAAAGCTGCCATAGGAAGTACAGCTTTAGTTTTGTTCCTTATATAATTTCCACTCATTGGAAGGAAGGGGTCAAAGGCATCAGATGGTATTTAATAAAAACACTAGCATCCAAATCCTAGGCTGTCTCCAAAGCCACAGCAGGGGACCAGCCAGGCTGAGGTGTAAGATTGCCTAGCATTTTAGAGCTTCCACATCTGCCCCTGCAGCACTCTTGGAGTTCAACACAGCAATACTTATATTTCTATTGTTCCAAGCACATTCTTGATCATATAGGAATCAGGCCACATGCCGTGTACAATTGGTTACTCAGGATGATCAATGAGTAAGATACAAACTGGGCCTTTCTTTAATTCATTGAAAATTTGCATATAGATATTGCTAGTCTCTGAGAATATGATGATATACAAGGTGGACATTGTCCCTCCTTGGTTTCTGATATTTAATGTTGAGAAACTTACACCTACAGATAAAAAACTGCACCAGATTTTAAACCATTTTATGTAATAATTTTATACAAGTTGAGAGAACATTACTCATTTAACAGATATTTATTTAATGGCTAACACATGTAAGCCATTGATCTCAATCTTGGAGATATTGTAGTGAACAATCTCTTGAAACTTACATTCTGATGAGAAGACATGTTCTTATTTGTAAGTAGTCGTTTCTGGAAAAATCGAACTTTTACTTGCAAAATACAATCTTTTTTACACTTGATACATCAATTTGAGGAAAATCATGCTCATGAGCTTTACAGAATTACATGCACTGAGATCAATGGAAAGGATAAATTTGATGATATCTGGTGATAAGAGATTAGATTTCTATTTCTGAATTATTTACATTTTGAAATGTCAATACTATGTAATGCTATTGGAAAACGTGTGTAAATACAAACTTGCTTCTCAAGCCTGTTAATGGAGATGCAAGGGCTATGGTCTGGAGGGCCAGGGCTCACCTCTATAATCCCAAGTCTTATATTGTACTTTCTTTGTAGTCTGGTTCTCCTGCTGTAGCAAAGTCTAGAAAGAAGTGATCCATTTTACTTTAGGATAACTAACTATCCATAAGCACTAAATTTCATTCTGGGCCAAATTACCACTTACCAACCAGAAATCTTCTGCACATAGAAAGTATTCAATAAATTCTTCATAATAAAGTAATAGGGAAAATGTAGAAAGGGATTTGATTGTCTGAACATAATAAGGAAGATATTAATTAGGCAGCAATTTTTACCTAATAACGTGTATTTACCTATTTTACTAACTAAATTTCATTTCTCTTTTTGCATAACCAAAAAATAAAGTACTTGCTGTAGATCTATATGGTCCTGAGATTTGAATTTTGAGAATCTTCTTGTAATAATTGTAATAATACAGGCAATAGAGCAAGGACAAAGTAAGAGGACAAGGAATAGTAAGAGCTCAACACTATAACCTTGCAGCCCAATTAAATTAATATGCATTATGTGCACTCAGATTGTGGCATCAGGTATTTTGTAGTATGATATTAGGTATTAGGTAGTTGGTGATAAGTTGCTTATAATTAAACATCCAAATAGGCAGATGATAAAATGTAAATACAGATGATGAGCAGTGATTTGAGGACTCACAAAAGTCAAATATCGATTGATTGTTTTTATTAACTGTTCATACTTTATATATTAACTATTATCTATTTATAGCTTATCTCTAATCAATAGTACACAGTCTTTTAAATCAATAATGGCTATTCCAAAATGTAAATCTCATATCTCCAGCTATTCATTTACTTCCGATCTGAATCAGTAACTCCTCTCTGTTACATTGTGGTTGTATCATGGGTACTGACTAAATTCCAATGGAATGTCTGCATTTTTACAAAACTAGTAGCCTCAATGTTTAGTTTCCTGGCAACCCCCTAGACTTGGAGAGTTATGTAAGGAGTCTCAGAGTCAGCTGTCCCAGGCACCTTCCTTTCCAGCTCACGTTGGCAGGAAGAACTGTGAGGTTAAGTGAAGGCACTGGGAGGGGAAGAAGGAATGCTCTCCCAAATGACAGGGTTCTGCATTCCAAAGACTCAGAGATGGAGCTTCTCATTTAGAAATGATGTGAAATAAGCCCACAGAAATAAAAATTCAGTCCTTCAGTGGGACACTTCATTCTGAATCTTCATACATTATGTTTTGTGTATGAAAACTGAAATTGTATTTGTCTCTTTGGGGCCTATATTTTGTCACTGAAATAATAAATATGTTGACTTCCAGAAAATAATGTATTATCTTAGGTCTTATCACAGTTAAATTATTCAGGATATTTGCAGATAATTTAATATTAAGCATTAAACTATCTTGCTCATAATGTAAATATAACATTTAAATATTAAAATCATGAATGAATTTTATTAAAATATAATTATCTTGTTCATTATAAATATTAATGTTTAGTGCATTGGTATTTATTAAATATTTAATTGATTTTAAATTGGTTACTATTAACATTTAGATATTACATTTCTGATAACTTGAATTTGTTTTTGGAGCATGAATATTTGACTTACAGGAATTCCAAATCAGTTTCTGCATTTTAAAAATATTTCTTAATTTATCAGAATCACTATGATTGTTTCAGATGCGTCAGAATGGCTAATAATTCATTAAGGCTGCA